ACTTACCACATAATCAATATTGACATGTATTGATGACATTTCCTTAGGCTATCAAATTTCATGAATGTGTAAGCATAAGAATGATACACATTATGGGGTCAACATTGAGACAAGCCAGACAAAAAGAGATATGACTGAGTCTAGGGACAGCAACTATGTATAAAAACAATTTTTCTTAATAGTATGGAACCTGAAAGAAAAGAAATAATCCACCTTATATCATCTTCAAGCTGGATATTTAAAAAGGAACTCTAAGCTTGTTGTAATAATTTATACTCCGGAGTTTTCATATATATATATATATATATATATATATATATATATTCCATTTATACTAATAAATGAGTGGCCTAGTTTTTATTTACAACCATTATTTATTGCTTTGTGCAGTGGACCAGCAGTGACCAGCTGCTGACAGCACAATAAGCCTAGGTAAGATGTGGCTCACTGTGTATTAACAGAGTGTATTCTATAGAAGCACAGAAAACTGGGGCTAAGTGACACTGAAAACTCACAGATGCTGGCTTCCCAGAGAAGACACCAGTCTATCTAAAACTCAAAGGAGGAGTTGGATGCTGTGAGTAGATAAATATGGAATGATATTTTAGGCAGCTGACTTGACACTTGAATAAAAGGAAGCAAGAAACAGTGATGATATTTTTCATCAAAGATTTTCACTTATGGAATTAACATATTGATCTTTGCTTAATTTCCTGTAGGGCTAACACTAAACTGATTCAAAGCAGATCATTTCTCCATCCTCTACCACCACCTCTTTTTAGAATCTATCCACAGCCACATATCATTTGAAATAAGCTGTGGCAAACAATTTTATGCTCCCTCTTCTTTTTCCCACATGTAGACTGACTCCTCTTCACATCGCATCTGGTAGAACTTGGTAGAGTGCATGAGTGAGACATTCTGAATACGGAGCCAACATTCTGGTACTTGAACACAGAGCTGCATTCTACTACCTCTTGGACATTTCTTCTACTACCAGTTAATCTCACTAAATCTTGTTTTGTGAGAACTATTGTGATGGTTAATTTGATGTGTCAACTTGGATAGCCTTATGATGTTTAGTTGTTCAGTTAATCCTTAGATGTTGCCATGAAGATGATGCCTGAATGTCTCCCTTAAGTAAATAGACAAGATATAAAGGATAAAGAATGTAAGCAGAAAATACAGAATGTAACTAGATTATATAGGGAAATATTTTGTTGGTTGTGTTTCTGTGCTTGACTGATACATATATCTACCTTATGGTGTTGTTTTGAATAATTCCTAAAAGCAAATTATAGGGAGCTCTTAACATGATACAAAACATTAGGTACATTGAGATACTGTTGCATATTTATAATTAATGTTATAATGCTATATCTTTACTAGATACACTACCCTGCAGAGTCAACATAGCTACTAGAATAACCTTCCTAGCACTATTACTACTAATAATAACTGAAATCTCAGTGACTGCTGAAATTTCAGTGGAATTAAGCTGTCTGTTCATCATATAAATTTTATTGTTCTATTAAACTACAGAAAATCATACAAGTTAGCTAGATAGATGTATAGAAAGAGAGACAGATATTGAACTCAATATTTTGAATACAAAATCTAAAACCTAATAGCTATCAAGAAATTTGTCCAAATTACAAAATACCTAGGAATCAGTGTAACAAAAGAAATCAAATACCTCTTCTCTGAAAACTATACTACTCTGAAAACAGAGATTGAAGACAATATCAGAAAATGGAAAGACATCCCTTACTCCTGGGTAGGAAGGATCAACATAGTGAAAATGGCCATACTTCCAAAATTGCTGTAGAGATTCAATGCAATCCCAGTTGAAATCCCAGCACTATACTTCATGGACCTTGAGAAAACAATCCAAAAATTCATTTGGAACAAGAAGAACCACAGAATAGCAAAAGCAATTCTAGTTTACGGAGGCATGGCAGGGGGTATCACAATCCCTAACTTGAATCTATACTACAAAGCTACTGTGATAAAAACAGCATGGTACTGGCAAAGAAACAGGCGTGAGGACCAGTGGAACAGATTAGAAGATCCAGAAACAATTCCAGACACACTCAGCCGCCTCATCTTCGACAAAGGAGCCAAGCACCCTCACTGGAGGAAAGATAGCCTCTTTACTAAATGGTGCTGGAGGAAAAATATCCTCTTTAATAAATGGTGCTGGAAAAATTGGGTTTCAACTTGCCAAAGACTAAAACTATACATATATATCTCACCATGCACTAAACTAAAATCAAAATGGATTAAAGACCTAAATATTAAAACAGAAACACTAACCCCGCTGGAAGAGAGGTTAGGAAGAACTCTTGAAGACATCAGGGTAGGAAAAGATTTTATGAACAAAACCTCAGTTGCCCATGAACTAGCACAAATAATCAACAAGTGGGATCTCTTCTTACTAAAAAGCTTTGCACAGCAAGAGAAACCACCAGCAGTGTGAAGAGACAACCCACAATGGGCGAAAAATTTTTCACCAGCTGTCCCTCAGACAAAAAAAGTATACTATCTCAAATCTATAAAGAACTTAAAAAGATCAGACCTCCCAAATTTAAAGACTTAGTCTGAAAATGGGCATCT